TTTTTTTTTTTTTCTGTCTCTCTCTAAGCCTATCCTGCCGCCGGGTGTCTCCATCCCCGAGGCCTTCTCAAGCCAAAGGCCCCAGGCCCTCAGCCCCCCGCAATTCGTTGAGCTCACAGCTGCCATCTTCGGCAGAAACAGGGGCCCCCAGGGGCCCCCAGCCTTTATGGGGGCCCCCGAGGGGCCCCCACCCCTTGCGGGGGCCCCCCAGGGCCTCACATATAAACAGCTGGGGGGGGACAAAGGAGACAGTCTCCTAATCCCTAAGGTCCCTGTTGTATGGAGAAAACCAAAACACGGAGATTACTAAACCACTGACACCAAGGGGGCCCCCTCAAAGGGGGGCCCCCAGCTGGGGGCCCCCCACGGGGGGCCCCCCAGCCACTACCTGCTGTGCAGGCAGGAAAGAGAGCAGGGGCCCCCTGAGGGTATTATAACGCGAACGCCAAGAGAAGACTCTGATTCCACCAAAGAGGCAAAGAGGCCATAAGGGTCTGGGGGGCCCCCCAACGGGGGGGCCCCCAACAGGGGACCCCCAACCGGGGGCCCCCAAACCCCACAGTATCATCCCCTTCATTAGAGCGGGGCTGAGGGGCCCTCACTGCCGGGGGCCCCGCTCTGCCTGGGGGCCCCCGGTTTGTACCTGTTTGCTGCTCTCATGTTGCTTCATAGCACAGGAAACAAAACAGGGCACACCTCTTGGGGGCCCCCTTCAAACCAAGGGGCCCCTGGGGCCCCCAGGGGGGCCCCACCAGGGGCCCCAAGTGGTCTCATAGATAAGGGTTTAAACAGCAACTATGGGGGCCCCAAGGGCCCCTTAGGGGGCCCCTAATGGGGACCTTCAGGGCCAGCTACGGGGTCCCCCCGGGGGCCCCTTGACGGGGCAAGGCCGGGGGGGGGCCCTATGGGGCCCCCAAGGGCCCCGCACGGAGGCTGTGGGGGGCCCCTGCGGGCCCCCAGTTGGGGCTTTAAGATAGCTGTATTACCCTCTCCTTTTCCTGTTGCAGCAGCATTGCTTGGGGAGGTGACCATTGGTCACGTGGGGTGTCTCCTGTCTCCTTTCTGAGCTCATCGTTTCTTCTTTCTTTTGTTTGTATAGATGACAAAACAAAAAACTTTTATTTTATTTTGTTTTTTATTTTACTTCTTGTTTCTGCTGTCTCCTCTTTACCCCCTATACCCTCCGGGCTCCTCAGGGGCCCCCGCTCGGGGGGCCCCTGAGGGGCCCCTGTATGCGGGGGGCCCCCCGGCCTTCTTCTGTTGTTCCGCTCATATCTGTTTTTTTTGTTTATAAAACGAAAAGGAAATTCATTTTGCTGCCTCCTCTGCACCTCTAACTCCTCCTCCTGCTGCTGCTGCCGCTGCTGCTGCTGCTGCTGCTGCTGCTCTCCTGGGGGCCCCTGGGGCCCCAATGTA